AGACAGGGGTGGGTTGGGGAGGCAATCAAGTCTAAGGAGAGGTAACCATTGTAAATATAGTTGAAGATAAACAATCTGAACTACCTTGGATTACTTGTAAGAGAGACAAAAGAAGAACCAAATACAAAATTCTTCTAATCTTTAAAACTTTCTCTGAACTTCTCTAATTGTCATTCTCTCCCAATCTTATAGCTCCTTCCCTACTGCCTAGAAACATGCTTGATTCTTCCTCATTCTTAAAAAAAATTTATCACTTAACCCTTATTATCTCCTAAAACTATCATCTTCTATTTCCTCTTCTTTTCTCAAATTCTCCTTCATTTAACAACTCCTTGGAATCTGGTTTCTGACCTCATTGCTCAAACAAAATTTGTCTCTTCAATGTTATGGTCTTTTTGCGGGGGAGTACCCCCTCCCCCCCATTCACTCTGCAGCATTTGATACTATTTCCTCCTTCTTGGAAAATCTCCCCTTTTTTTGTGACACTGTTCTTTCTTGGTTCTTTTCCTATCTGTCTGGTATCTCTTCCATGTTCCATTCTCTAATCATGAGTGTCCATCAAGATTCTGTCCTGGATTCTCTTCTCTTCTTTCTACTTTCTCCCTCTCACCAGCTGCCATGAGCCCACCTGTTTGTAGTAGATGACATTGCACGTGTTCTCCTTGTACTGTGTCTGAGTCCACCTCAGAGTGTCTTGATACTGAAGGAAATGACATTTTAGAGTGGCAGTGCCAGGAAGCAGCACAGGGAAATAATATATGATTTTCCCTGAAATTTAACAAGGAAAAATCTTGGACCACTTTGATGGAAAAAATTATTTATGTTAAAAAACATAATTATTCTTTAAGGGGAGTTCTTTCAAAAAACTTTAGTGTTCTTGAAGCTTAATTAAAGGTCTTCATTCTGAACTTTAAAAAGTAAAATGTAGAATGTCATTGAGATGACTGAAGATAGAACAAATATGTAATCCCATGGGACTAAGATAGCATACTTTAAAATTTTCTTATAAAATGAAAAGTATTTTTAGACAACCAATGAAATACTCAAAAAGACAATTATCTTTTGTAGGTCCCCCTAATACTGACTCGACTGGCACTCAAGACCCATTCACAACCTTATCACAATATACTTTTCTAATCTTCTATTTTGATACTCCAATCAATCACAAATAAGAATTTATTTTGTGTTTTTTTATGCGTCAAGCACCATGTCAAGCTCTGGAAACACAAGGTAAGGCATAAAATAGTCACAGTCCTCAAGGAGTTTATATTCTAACGGCGAAGACAACATATAAATAATTAGGTACATAAAAATAGAAACAGATGGAAAACTACAAAACACTTTTTACATATATTATCTCTTTTGAACCTCACAACAACCTGGTGATTTAGGTACTATGGGTATTATTTTTCCCCATTCAGCAGGCTCAAGAAAGGTTAAACGACTTGCTTGTCGTCACAAAGTTAGGAAGTGTCAGAGAGAGTAGTTGAGTCATCAGTACTCCCAGTTTAGGCCTTAATTTACTTAGCCACACTGCTCCCCAAGGATTTTCTTAGGATAGTAAAGGGCTTTTAGTTCCTGGCATATGAGGAACACTGTTTCAGACATTGGGGCTAATTCACCATCCTCTCAAAAAAGTACATTTCCATCTTAGATCTTTGCTCTATTCCACTATGTTATATAACCTTTAATGTCCCATTTTAGTCAGACATTTTCTATGAAGCATTTCATAGCTAATCCCAGTACCTGGTAATCTCTGCCTCTTCTGAACTCACAAAACTTAATGTTTGTATATTTGGCAAGTAATTATATATTGTTGTTATTTAGTCATTCAGCTGTGTCCAGCTCCATGTGACATGGGGTTTTCTTGGCAAAGATACTAGAGTGGTTTCCCTTTTCCTTTTCCAGTGTGTCCCCATTTTACAGATGAGGAACTGAGGCAAATAGGGGTTAAGTGACTTACCCATAGGGTCACACAGCTAATAAGTGTCTGAGGCTGCATTTGAACTCAGATCTTCCTGGCTCTAAGCCAGCAGTATCCATTGTACCACCCAGATGCCCCAATTATATATTACCTAGTGCTATTTCATGCACTATTGACCTATATTGTTATTTAATTCTAATATCTGCATATGGGTTATGTCTTATTTTTCTTACTAGATTAGAAAGCTCCATATACGGGTAGGGAACACATTTTATAATTTTTTTGTATTCCTGGTAGGCCTAATACAAAATTTGTATATGAAAATGTTTTGAAAATTGTAAAATGCTTTATGTAAAAGTATATTATTAGTTATTATATCCAAATTTCTTTTATGTACAGTTGAGCTATATTCTAACACCTATGTCACTCTCCTCTTGTACTTTAAGAGGCATATCTCTAATTTTCTGTGGTTGCTTATGTTTTTCCAGAAAATGTCCTTTGGTGCCTAGGATGAGAGAAAGACAGTAAGAAAATTTCTTTAAAAAGTACTGTGTAGTACAAAAATTCATGGAAATAGGAGTAGGGAGATATGATTACTAGATCTAACTAATTCATTATATAATTCTGGGTAAGTCACTGAACTTCTAGGGCCCTCAGATTTTTCATCTATAAAAAGAAGTAGCTGGATTAGATGATCTCTTAGGTTCTTTTAGCTGCCAGTTCTATGCTTTTATGTCCTTAGACTTGATTACTCATATATTTATAAAATTGATTAGACATCAATATTTAGTGAAAAGCCTACTAAAATGTCAGGAATTCACAAATTGACCTGATTTATCTATTATACATAATTATACTAAAAAAGTTAGGCGAGAACCAGATTAGGCACCTTTCACAGTTATGGGCTGTAGTGTGTGTGTGTGTGTGTGTGTGTGTGTGTGTGTGTGTGCGCGCGCGCGCGCGTGAATGTATATGTATAGGGGTCTTAAATAAGGGAAAGAAATGGACATAAAGCTTAATACGGATAATTTTAATTACATGAAATTGGAAACCTTTTACTAAACTGTTGATTCAAGAAATAATTTTTGCATCAACTCTTTTCGATAAGGTCTGATCTCCAACATATAGAATCAACACTAATATACAAAGTCAAGAGCCTTGATTCTAAGGTCTACGTGGTCAAAGGCTATGAACAAACAGATCTCCAAAGAAATGATAACCATTAACTAGCATATTAAAGATTACTCCAAATCTCTAATAATAAGAGAAATGGAAGTAAAAACACTTCTGTGGCTTTATCTCACACCCAGGAAATTGGCCAAGGATGACAAAGGATGGGAACAATCACTATTGGAGGGGATATAGAAAGACAGACATACTAATATACTCTTGGTAGACCTGTGAATTGGTATAACCATTCTAGAAAGTAATAAGGAATTATACTTAGAAAGTGGCTAAAACGTCTGTCATCTTTGAGATAACCATCTCATTACTCATTATATACCACCAAGGAGGGAAGAGTAGGGGATCTACTTGGAAATGAAGGTGATATAAATATAAAAGACATCAATAAATTTTTAAATACTTAAGTTTCAGCTTTAATACCTAGGGTAAATCTTTATATGGGAGAGATAACTGTTTCAATAAAATTGCTGTAAAATGAAATTCCATAGACTTGTAGAGCTGGAAGAGATCTCAACACTGAATCACATTTTTCCATTGCCATTTTGAAATTGAAATTATGTTGCAGTAGGGTTCAGGGATTGCGGAGAATCTCCTGCTTGATTTAATATTAGAATTTCAATTTTTCAACATTGGTAAAGCAGTTAATTCAACATTAATTGAATTCTATAATTGTAAGTCTTTGGGCTACACATGCAAAATTCATAGGAATTCACAAGCACTTAGAGCAAAAAGAGATCTTGGTGATCCAAGATGGTGGAAAGCCCTCATTTTGTAGGTGAAGTAACAGCATCATTGAAATAAAATAACTTGATTAAGTGCTGGACCTGGAGTCAGGAAGACTCATCTTGCTGAGTTCAAATATGGCCTTAGACACCAGCTGAGTGACCCTCAGAAAGTCATTTAACCCTGTTTGCCTCAGTTTCCTCATCTGTAAAATGAGCTAGATAAGGAAAAGGAAAACCATTCCAGTATCTTTGCCAAGAAAACCCCAAATGGGGTCACGAAGAGTCAGACGTGATTAAAAAATAACAACAAAACTTGATTAAGATGACATGACCAATTAGTAGTGGGGACCAAAACCTGAGTTTCCTGATTTCTAGTACAGTGATCTCTCTACTATGCCATGTTTCTTCATAAGGACATTGTAAAAGTTTTCTGAGTTTATCATACTATGTTAACATTTTACATTAGTATTAAAATAAGTATGTGAGAGACATAAGAGTAAAGAAAAGGGCTGGAATCCTTACAAATTAAAAGTGAGACCTGAACATGAAATTATTTAATAGCAGAATTACATCTGTACTTCAAGAAAACAAATATGTAGAAACAGAAATTATGTTTACACAATGTAAACTTGCTACTTTTCAGTAATATAATTATTAGAAAAACAAGGTATAATTATATAAGTAAGATTAACTAGTAATTTTAAAGATGTAATACTTCTGCAAAGATCAAATAACCATAAGGAGTTTACTAGTAGAAATATTTAAATATAATTCATGGAGGAAAACTACTGAAATTTAAAATGTAATATCATGTTACATTATAATAGTTATAGGAGTATTTTAAATATAAGTATAGCAGTAAATTAATAAATGGCTTTCAAATGACAGAGAAGGGACAAAAATAGCTTCTTACAAAGTAACTGAAGTTATTGAACTCAAACATTCCTGACCCAATCTTTGCTGACTTGTTAAGCATTATTACATAATACATTGAGTATAAATTCTGGAACTGGAAGGTTAAACGAATAAAATTTTGATGATCCATAAGATATGCAGATATACTTTTTCTTTTGTTCTGAAGGCATTCAAACTAATAAACAATGCCACCAAATGCAACCTATATAATTAAACTTCTGCATATTTCTAATTATTACCAAATCACTAACCTGTTTAACATTCTTAGACATGGGACTTGGAACAATACAGTCATCGCTGTCAGTAATTATTGAATCAACAGCATCAGAATCTAGTCTTTCCTCTTGAACTGTTAAAAAAAAAGGCTGATCATTAAATAAGGTTAAACCTTATTTACATTGCAAAGCAAAAGAAATCTAAGTGCATCACAGTGTGACAGTGACAAAATCTTCACCTCTTCTTAAAAAGAAAATCAGAAATTAATGAATCTTTAACTTTGCATTTTTAAAAGTAAGATAAGTTTTCAAATAAAGAAGGCATGATGTTCATAGGCCTGAAAACATACAGTATTTTACTTACAACTAAGAAGCAGTTTATGCATAGGAGAAAGAATGACTAAAATGTTCTCATAAACACTTAAATGCTCTTCAGCCAGAATATTCTATGGACTGTCCTATTTTAGAGTCAGTGTTACCTCTTTCATACTAAAGCAACATTTCTATTAGAGAAATCAGTCATGATTTGCCGCTGGGTAAGGCCAAATCAAATTCTAATATTGACAAGAATTTCAAAAAAGTTGTGAACAATTCTTTAAGAAACCAAAAGAAGAATGCAGAATCAACAAGAATCAAGAAGAGGTAAGGTGACAATAGGAATTAGGACAGATTTAGGAACTGAAAAGAACAAGCTACCATTAACAAGTTGGCTTATTCTATCTGAATCATCTAGATATTCTTGGACCATGATGGTCATGTACTGTCATATTAATCACTTAGTAGCTCCTACCATTCTTAGTAGGGGACAGTGCATTGACAAACCAGAATTTCATAATAATCTACTCAGTAGTCATTTTGTAGAGTAAGGGATTCAGACAAACCAGGAACTTGATAAAAAATAAGTCATCATACAAGTACTTGTAATGCTTTAAGAAATGATAAAATGTCACTCAAGAGAAAGCAACTGGGAACACAGCCATCCTAGGTTACTTGCACTGCATATTTATATGAAGTGGTTTTATGAACTACTAAGACTGACTTGCTGTCACTCAAAATTAGTTGTATGTGAAGTACACTCAAAAAAAGCTATGGTTGAATTATCTAATCTCAGTGCCTTAAACATAGCAATATGGAAGAATGTGAATAGGTGTGACCTTAAATCTAGGCATGAAATGCATGGAACCCTAATGTCAATTGACCATATTGCAGTAATAACAATCTGGGTTTCTTATCCTATTTCAGTGGTAAAGACCTATATACTTCTACCCATTTTTTAGAGAACAGAAAAAGACCTCATGAAAAAATCCTAGTTGTGTTAAGAGACAAAAAAACCTGAGTTTTTTAATACAAGGAAACAAAAACAAATTGGCATTAAATAGAAGCAGGATCAGAGAAATGGGTGCTACTTAACTGTTTAGATGACTTTATGAAAAAATGCATATTTTTCTTACTATCTAAGGCAACATTATAGATAATTTTAATTTGTAAAACCATAAGTTAATATTCCTCAGAATATGATTCTTTCAAAATAAAATATTTGCTACAAGTTAGCGTAAAAGGCCACTCAATATATTGAAGCCTGTGATATTTTGTAATTGTGTGAAAATTTAGGTAAGAAAACATTTTTTAACACTCAATTATACCACTTCAGGTTGAATCGACAAATCATTCAGTAGAGCCAGAATGAGCTCAATTCTATTATTTCTGTCCAGTAATAGTCAGTTTTTAACAAAGATGTTCGATGAGTAAGAACTAACACACCAAATAAAAGCAGAGTGTTCATACAAAAGAATGAAACTAAAGAATTTACTTTAATTGAGAAAAGAAAGCTACCTTCTTCTCTTTCTAACTCCTCACTAATTTCTGTGTCATCTTCAGAAGCAGATGAACTTTGGCCAGCAAGTTGACCCATAGAGAGGTGAGAGAAATCCTCATCTTTTCCTTGCCACATTTCTTGAACATTCTCATTTACCTTCTCTACCATCCTTTCTGGCAAAGCCTCAAAAATGGAAAGAAATACAAAGATATTTATAGTCACTTAGTTCATATTTATAACATTCTTTTTTCAAGCCCTTGAATTATAAAGCCATTTAAATTTAAGACTGAAAAATATAGCTGATATGTACATGATTTATGTGACTTATGAGAAAATCAGTTCCTTAAATAATGTAGACTGAAATGAAAAACTCATTAATTATCAGCTTGCAAAAGTCTATTTGTTGGAGTGAAAAATGCATTTAACATAAGGTTTTAACTCACATATCCATTTAGTACTTGTCATCAAAAAATATAATTGTGGCTAACTGTGAAATACTTAAAGCTGTATATTTTCCATTTCAAGTAAGCCATATACACACACACATTTTATACACATTTAAAATCTTTAAATTAATGCATAAAGTAGCAAAAAATTTTAAAAATCTTAAAGATTTTTTAAATGCCTATTTGGAATTTTCTGAATAGGAAGACTACACACAAGATGGCCAATATATAATTGTACTTGAACATTCATTCTATCTTACTTTCTCCATTCATCTATTCCTTTCTTTGTCAGTGATTAATAGCATACCAGGGGGGCTGGACAGTGCTGAGCTTGGAGTCAGGAAGACTCATCTTCCTGAGTTCAAATCTGGCCTCAGACACTTACGAGCTGTGTGACACTGGGCAAGTCACCTAACCCTATTTGCCTCGGTTTCCTTATCTGTAAAATGAGCGGGAGACGGAACCAGCAAATCACCCCAGTATCTTTGCCAAGAAAACCCAAAATTAGGTCATGAAGATTAGGGCATGACTGAAATGAGAAAACAACCAAATAGCATACCAATGGACAAGAGTGTGTAGAAACACAACTCGCAAGTCACTGTCTACGAGAATTATTTTTAGAAAGTGGAACTGTTGATTGTAATAGAAATCTTACCTCTGGAATATCTGGCACAGATGAAGCCTTAACTTGTAATTTCTTTGTAACCTTCATTTCTGGTGAAGATTTCTGTACATCTTCATCTGAGATAGACATCTATGGAGCAAAGGATCGTAGGTTTTAGGGTGGGAAGGGACTTCTTGGCGATGTTGTTGAGGCGATTCCCTTTCAGGTATAGGTAAGACTGTATAACCTCTTTAAATCCCTTCCAGTGTGAGTTTCTCAGTGTTTCCTTGTTTTCCCCACATATAAAATTAACTAAAGCATCTCTATATCTATACTTATCTATCTATCTACACATACACATACATTCACATTAAGTTTGTGAGAAATAGCTCTGTGAAATTTATGTAGATCATTGGATGTCAGGAAATATGGGTTCTATCAAAAATCAAAAGCTGTGTAAACTTGGTCCTATCATTTAAATTAGCTTGGTCTCAGTTTCTTCCCCTGTAAAATGAAGGACTCAAACTAGATGATCTCTAACTTTATTTCTAGCTTAACATTCTGTTATAAAATAACATGGATGTAGCACCAACACTAAAACACATAGTTATTTAGTTTTTATATTTTAATAAAGGAATATAAAATTAAGATCAGGAAAAGGAAGCTTTTATTAAAGTTTAATTCCTTCATATTATATATTATTTTAGTCATTGTAGCTGTCAGAAGAAGCACATATTCTCTGTGGTTAGCATCATCATTTAATTGCAGATAATATAGCTTAATCATGTATTCTTCTTGTGTATATAAATACCCCTCAGTTCTCTCCCTGGCCATTATTCCTGGATTAGACACTTTCTCCTTTTTTCCCCATCTTGACCCCTTGGTGATCCAGTTCAACTCTACACTATCCTCTTCTCTTGAATCCCTAGTCCCCTTATCATACAGACAATTGTGTTATCACAGGCCTCAGCTTTGGATTGTTTCCACCATCTTCTGCTTTTACTACTCCTCTATGCATGCTGCAGAATGAAGGTGGAGAAAATCACTGAACCATTTTCACTGGGTCCACTACAGATTTTTGTTACACAACCTCACACTGGACCCTCACTGCTGCTAGACAATCCTACTTTACCTCTGTTATCGACTCCCTATCCCATTCTCTACAGTGGCTCTTCTAAATCCTTTTATCCCTCCTCAAGTTTCCCATGGTTCCCCCTACCCTACCCTCTCAGCTAAGAGCCTTGCCTTATAATTCACAGAAAAAACTGGGACCATTAACTGTGAATTTCTTATTTCTCCTTTTAGATGCCTTCTGCTACTGTCGCCTCCTTCTCCTCAGTCTCACATGAAGAGGTGATTTTACCGTCAATTTCACTTTTTGCAATATCTCTCAAATACATCCCCATCCCTCCTCAGACACTGCCGCTACTCTGGTGCAGACCTTCATCACCTCACACTTGGAATATCATTCAATAGCCTGCTGGTAGGCTCTGCCTGCCTCATGTCTCTCCCTACTTCAAACCATCATCTCTATTCAGCCACTAAAGTGATTTTTCTAAAGGACAGGTCTGATCGTGTTACTCTGCTACTCAATAAACTCCAGTGGCTCCCTATTGCCTCCAGGAGCAAATACAAAATGATCTGTTTGACATTCAGAGCCCTCCCTCACCTCGTCCCCTCTAGCTTTTCCACTTTTCTTATACTTTATTCCATCTCAAGGCTCGGACATTTTCTTTGGCTGTCCCCCATGCCTGGAATGCTCTCCTCCCTCACCTCTCCCTACTGGCTTTCATGGCTTCCTTCAAGTCCCAGCTAAAATCCTGTCATCTACAGGGAGCCTTCCCCAACCCTGCTTAATTCTAGTGCTTTCCTTTAAATTGTTTCCTATTTATCTTGTATACATCTTGTCTGTATATATTTGTTTGCCTGTTGTTTGCTCTATTATATTGTGAGCTCCTTGGTGGCAGGGACTGTCCTTTGCCTCTTTTTGTATCCCCAGAGCTTAGTGCAGTGCTTGGCACCCAGAAGGCACTTATGTGTGTATTGACTGACTATTGACTGACAATATAAATCTCACCTTTCATTGAAATCCAACTCTAATACCTCAGTATGGATTAGAGATAAATCTGGGTTCTTAAAATTTATGCCACCAAAATACAGGTTCTATCAGGTTTTAAGGAGGAAAGGTCTTAAGTGTGGACTATGCTACAGAACAACAGCTAAGTTCAAAAAGGCTTATTCCCAGAATGCTAGCCACTAGGTGACAGATTTCTTTGCTGACAGTAATGCATGTCAACTGTCTACTATGTTGTGGAATGGCTGTGATCTATATCAATGGTGGAAGAACACACACTGATGAAATTGCATATCCTTTGTAGTATACAGAAGACTAATATTTTAAAAATTGAATTCAGGAAAAAATATACATCTTATACCAGTGAATAGGGCACCTCGTTTTCTTCTAAATCACAGAACACATTATAGAGATACAGAATTCCTTTGAAAGGATTTCTATATACATTATTCTGGCCTCGTGCTACTTACAGAATCCTGGTGTGAAGTGATATCCACAAAGGACACTTTCTTGTCTGTTGGGATTGTACGCTGTCTTGGTTTAGGTATTGGCACCTGTGATAAACCAATTCAGATTAAGCTGAGAGCAATGAATATCAAATTGCATATTTTGTTTCAAAGCATTCTAAATTTTAAAGCAAGTATTAAAAGCCAGATACTTACTACAACTGGTGTAGTAACAGAGGATGCCCTGTGCAACTTCTTATCAGCTTCTGATTCTTCTTTTTTAATAACATTCATTAGGTCCTCAGGTGCTGCTGATGAACTTGGAAGAAGGTAAGTAAATTTCCATTTCAACACAACTTCAATGGTTCCTGTATGATGCTTCTTATGATCTGTTAACTCAAATATTCCTGTCAAATTACAAAATTAGTTTAATTTTAACATATACTCTTGATAGCCTGAAATGTTAATAATGCAAAAATTAAAGAAGGGCTCTTTAAAAAATTTTTTTTTACTAATTCTCTTAGAGCATGACTTCAGCTTCCAACACAAATTACTTAAAGAGTAAATTGAAGACAAAAGAATTTGTAATGGGTTCAGGCTTCACATAGATTCCTTTTTTGAAGTTAAGGACTTTGAAAGAAAATCTGAATTCAAAGAGGCGGAAGTTAATTTATAAATATTTTAATTTGCTGATTTTATATTCAAAGATAACCTTAGAAATGAGCTTTCTCCAAGGTCTGCTGTCTCATTACAAGTAACATTTTACTCTACAGCCTTTCAAATACTTTTAAGAAAAACAAATGAAATGACTCAATTTTTAAAACAACTTGTACTGTCTGAAAAAATATTAAATATTTCCACAATAATAATACTAGTAATACTATTATAAATATCTATTTGCTCTAGGTTTTGCCCAATTCAATTTTCAGGCTGTAGAAGAGTAGCAGTATTAAAAAGAAATAAAGCAAAAATAACAACACTATAAACTTTTAAGTTTGGATATAAATATTAATAAGATGCAATAGATTTTTAGAACTAGACAATTAGTGACTTAAGCAACCATATTTAAAGAAATAAAGGAATGGTTTGAGAGAAACCTGGAAAGACTTGTATGAACTGAAGCAGAATGAAGTGAATTGAACCAGAATAACAATTTATACAATGACAACAATATGGTAAAGATATACAACCTTGAAAGAATTAGAAACTTAGATCAGTGTGATGACTATCTACTATTCCAGAGTACGAGTGATGAAACATGCTACCCACTTCCTGACAGAGAGAGGAACTCATAGTGAAGAAGGGGACTTTTTTTTTACATGGCCAATGCAGAAATTTATTCTGCTTGAATATACGTTTGTAAAAAGGATTTAATTTTTCTTTTGTTTCTGTTGGGTAATAGGAGGGGGGGAAAGGTGAATTTTTGCTGACTGAAAACAATAAAATATAATTTTTAAAATATTATATTCTTACCTGAAATATATCTATCATGTGCCAATGAAATCAGTGGTACATCGACTTTTCCTATGTAAGTATTCTGCTGGGTGTCACTATCATCAAATACATAAAAACTCAGAGACTCTGACTTTAGATATCTATCCAAGTTCGGATTCATTGGCACTGGGAAGCACATGTGATCATCAAACTGGGGATCATTGCTATTTGGAATGATAGCTGTATCATGGTCTGCAAAATCAAAGAACTTGTATACAACATATGGATTTGGCTGCACGTGACTTTTGGTTGCTCCGGACTTCAGGTTGCTACAGCATTTTATTGTGATATGGAGTTCATTTAAGTTGTCATCTGAAGTAAGACTGAGATCAGCAGTTTTGGGTATCTGCTGATTTAAATGGAAAAATACATATTTAAATCATAGTACATACAACTAAAAGATAAACAGTGGCTATCATATCTAAAACATAATCATAAATACACATGTGGAATATATTTCATAATTAATTTCTCTAAAATTATATGATGTCGACATTTAAGAAGAAATAATGTCTTCTTTAATGTTTTTACGTTGTCAATAGGGAGCCACATGAAGTGGCTATCCTATGTGTACAACAAATTAGGATGAGTATATACTGAGAGTTTACTGTAGCAAAATAAAGGTTCCAATAGAGTTAATCTGATATATATTTAAAAATAAACATAACCATTAGTGTGTTGCATGGCCACTGTAAGCATAAATAGTAAGTGAAGTAGAAGATCCAAAAACTCCATCAACTTCTTGTCTAGTTCCCCCTTACCTTTTCCTTCCCTCCACAATTTGCTCCATCTTGAAGGGGTTGGAGGGAGAACAGAAAGAACAAAGTGACATTTTATAGTGCAGGATCTGAGCCCTTTGATCTTTTCCAAGGAACCAGATCTCTCCCCTTCATGCTACAAGACTGACCTCACTTGAGAAGTTCCATTTCTTTCCTCCAGGTTGGCTGGTTTGTTCATATATATATGAAAAGCTAAGGGATGCTTCCCAGAGAAGGGCCTAGTATTAAATGTATTTGGCAAACAGAAAGGTGTACACAGGGATATTTTGTGTCGTGTGTAGCTTAGCAGGAACTATGAAGACAAACTGAAATCTCTAAGTTTCCCAGAGACAGAATGCCAGAAGCAGCAACTGGGTCTCAAAACCCACTTTGTTCCTTGCTAATTTTATTCTTTAACAATATTAAGTTAACATTTCTAATTTATAGCCAGGATAGACAAAATTGTATCTGAACCTCCTCTATCTGAGAAAAGGATATAAATACTTATCAGTAACAAATATTCAATCTGAAAGGTAGAAATGGGTTTCCTTCTCTCCTTATTTAAGTACTTCTTTTAAAATTTATTTTTATTTTTATCTTCTGAATCGATTGTTTTATTTTAAAGTATAAGGCTATATCAAGTAGTTTCTAATAACTATTATCATTATTCTGCTTCGAAATTTTTTTAAAAAACCAAGCCTATCACTTAAAATATAAGCACAATATGAGTTCTTGACCAGCTAATAAGTAAAATACTCAGGATTATTTTGTGAGGAGTTTTTGAGCTACAAAAATAAAGAAATCCTATGGATCCCCTATTACTAAAAGGTGTACTGCATTTTAAAAAAATTTATAACTTCTTTATAACATCTCTCAAATATGTCTCCTTTCCACTCACATAATCACAATCCTAGTTCAGTCCCTTATCACCTCGCCTTGACTATCAGAATAGCCTCATAACTGGTCTTCCTGCCTCAAGTCTCTTCCCACTCCAAAGTGTCCCCCACTCAGCTGCCAAGGTGATGTTTTTGGACAGCATAGGTCAGACCATGTCACTACCCTCAGGAGCTTCAGTGGCTCCCTATTAGCTGTAGTATTAAATAGACTCCTCTTGTTTGCCATTTAAAGCTCTTCACTACCTGACCCTTTCCTACCTTTCTAGCCATCATACATTTTGCTCTCTCCACATACCCTATAATATGGTTATACTAGCCTGCTTGCAGATTCTTGCTCTCTGTGCCTTTTCACTGGCCTCCCCCTGAGCTGGCTCTGCTTTGAACTCTATTTCTACCTCTTGGTTTCCTTGGCTGGCTTTAAAACTCAGCTCGAGGCCTGTCTTTGGCAAGAGGTCTTAGTCTTAGTGCTGGCACGTTCTCTCAGAATACTTTCCATCTATTCTGTATATAGCTTGCATATATTTAGCTTTTTACAAGTTGTTTTCCCCATTAAAATGTCTATTTATGGAAGGCAGGGACTGTTTTTGCTTTTATTTGATTCTCCACTCCTTAAATACTTGTTGACTTACCGACTTAATTCTATACTGTGGCATACTAACTCTGAAACGTCCTGATTCTTAGCAAACACAATTTAAATGTTTCTAGTTCATTTAGTAATTCAGAAAGTTTGCACAAGAGAACACTTTCAGTGAATAGTACTAACTTATGATCAAATAGCAGCTACATATTTTCACAGACAACACATATCCACAAAAATATAATTTTTAATCAAGGTTACTTGAATGATAAGAGAGAAAGAAAGTTTTTGAAGACTTTTTTAGCACAAAATTTAAAAGAAAACCCTTAAGAAAATACCCGCATCATAAAAAGGCCCTAAAAATTGCTTACCTGATGCATTTGCTCTGGTCTCTTAAAATTGGATGTTATATAGCCTAAAGCTTTTGCCCGTTCTCTATACAGTCTAATTGCTTGATCCATAGGAACTCTTAATCGGACCCAATATTCTATTGTGCCATAATGTGGAATGTCTCCTTTAATTCCTAAAAAAAATGCATTCTGATATTTCAATATTTTTATAAATGAAAACAGATAGGTACCAGTGTTAGTAATATTAGAACCAGAGATGTTATGTGGAGTAGAATTATACATGCTCTGCACAAATGATGTTTGAAGTGCAAATAACAGTGATGAAGACAGAAAAACTATGCTTGCAAGAATGAATTTTGCCATATGTTGAATACCCTCATGTTAAATGTGCTAAGCTATATTTTGTATATGGCAATTTATAATGTAAAATATAATTTAATCCTTCTGAAATACAAATGAGATGAACACACATGTTTACTCAAGCCCATACTCTTTCTGATGCTGTAGTCGCTGGTACCCACAGAACCTGAGAGGTACAGGCCAGAACAAAGCATAAACAAATATGGTAACCTCCAAATCCCATTTAAGACATTTTAAATAAACATTATCAAAAGTACCACCATATAGATTAAACATATTAGAAATGTGTCAAATATATTGCTGTAGGAAAATGATAAATGTTGGAGAGGATGTGGCAAAAATGAGACACTGATACGGGTAACCAAACTGCGCATACCCTTTGATCCAGCAATACCACTACTAGGACTGTATCCCAAAAAGATCATAAAAGAGAAAAGGAACTATATATGCAAAAATATTTATAGCAGCCCATTTTGTGGTGGCAAAATATTGGAAATTGAGGGGATGCCCATCAATCAGGGAATGGTTGAAAAAGCTGTGGTACATGGATGTAATGGAATATTACTGTGCAATAAGAAATGATAACCAGGAAGATGTCAGAAAAATCTGGAAAGACTTGTAGGAACTGACGCAAAGTGAAATGAGCAGAATCAGGAAAACATTGTACACAGTATCAGCAAAATCATGTGATGATCAGCTAGGAATGACTCAGCTCTTCTCAGCAACACAATGATCCAAGACAAGTACAAAGGACTCAGGAAGGAAAATGCAAAATCTATATCCAGATAAAGAACTGAAGGATTCTGAATACAGATAGAAGCATATTTTTTTTCACTTACTTTATTCTTTCTTGGTTTTTTTTCCTTTTGATCTGTTTCTTCTTTCACAACTGTGACTAATATGGAAATATTTTTACATGATAGCACCTGTATAAACTATATAAAAGTGCCTATCATTTTCAGATAAGGGGAAGGGAGGGAGAAAAATTTGGAACTCGAAATCTTGTAAAAATGAATACTAAAAAATTTCTTGTCATGTAACTAGGGAAAAAATAAAATACTTTAAACTTAAAAATACATCACTGTATATGGTTCTGCTTAGAGATAGGAGACTAAATTTCTTGAGGCCACATGTGGCCCTCCAGGTCCTCAAGTACAGCTTTCTGACTGAATCCAAACTTCACAGAACAAATCCCCTAAATAAAAGGATTTGTTCTGTAAAACTTGGACTTAGTCAAAAGGTTGTACCCAAGGACAAAGAAGGCCACATGTGGCCTCAAAGCCATAGGTTCCCCACTCCTGGTCTAGGATTCTATCTGATATTAAAGAGTTGCTAATATTCTGTATTTGAGCTATTCTAAATATTACATTATTTTATTAAAGATATCTTTCAAAATAAGACACCAATCTGGTTAATAAATATTTTAGTTACAATCATCAATTAAAGCCTCAGCTGCATATCAATATTAGTAATAGTATTTGTATTTATAAAAGATATGTGTGTCCAAATATGTGGGGTGCTAACTCAGGTAAACTAGAAAATATGGTTCCTGATCTAAAGGTACTTTCAATCAATGAAAGATGACACTGATGTGGGCATCAATATATAATACATGACAGGTATGTAGTATGTAGCTAGACTTACCAACCAAATTTGCAGCACCCAAAATTCGACCATTCTTTTCCAGGATCTCATGGAATCGCAACTGGCATGCAGCAACTGTTTCATAATCAGTACTATATGCCTGATGGACCTCAAGAGTGACACCATTTTTCTGTATGTACTGCAAAAAGAAGTCATTAACATGGACGAGATACTGGGATGTAAAGTTATATACTGGATGGAGACCAGAGACTACAGGAGTTGTCTGCAGTTCAAAATCATAAAAAGCATAGGTACAGAAAGTGGAAGGTTCTTGATCTCCTGATGCCTGGATAGCTTCAGATGAAAGGGTCAGTTTGCTGATATGGATTTCAAATAGGTTCTCTCCCCGTTCTAAATGGATAGCTTCATTAAATTCATCTACAGGATCATCTGGCATGATTTCTGGTTTAAATCTGTACTGCTTTGTGCCATAGGCAATATCCTTTAATTGGGCTGCAACAACAGAAGATAAGGAATTCAGTCATTCTCTAAATACATTGTCTAAGCCTTGGCATATGAAAGGACAAACTATCCTAAGATGGTGGCCAGTACTAAAAGAATACCTTTTAATGCATGTCTATAATTTCAAACTAGGAGGTCTCTATTCCATGGTACTATATTAAAGTACAAAAAAACCACTTCATTTATTCAGTAGTCACATATCTAAGAACCTTAATTATTCAAAACATAGTTGAGTGGCAGGCAGCAAGCAAAAAAGGTCTCTGACTAGGAAAAATATTAGTTACAAAATGCCATGCCCTTTACTCTTGAAAGTACTTCGGTTGAGTACAAAATTGTAATAAATTTGTTAATCTGGTTTTCTAACCCACTACAGAACAGAATCAGTGAATTTATCAGTTAAGCACTGGAAATCTGAAAGGGATTGTGGGTTATGGGGACAGGTGATGGAAGGAAGGATGATATTTTCATTTGTCCTTAATTTTAAATATAAGCTTATAGAACCCAATGCTTTGGATCAAAGAATTTGCTTTATGCATACTATACCTTCTAATTTCCGGATACGTGCAGCTCTGATGTCAAGAAGATGAACATACTGTTTTATTTTTAAGTCATAATCTTGTTGAAAACTTTCCAACTTCTGGGTTACTGCTTCAACTTCCATCTAAAAAACATGATAGTACTATAGATGAAAGACTGAACAACTTGAAATCAAGGTGTCTTTTTTCCCCAAGACTATTTTTCAATGAATTAATGTTCATTCATTTTTAGTTAATTCAAATAAGGCTGTATTTACAGTGGTCTTAATGCCCCCATGTACAAACCTGCCTATTTGCTTCAAATGGTCAGTTGGACTCTGCTTGAGTTCAGAGTGCCATTGTACTTCCAAAGAGTGATGGTAGTAATGTACATCCTAAGCTGCCTCTGACTCAGGACAAATCAGAATAAACAAAACAATTCATCCATTAGATGGCACAACGATAACTGAATGCTTCTGAAAAGTCAGACTTTCTGTGTACTCAGTGATGCAGAATACAAATGTACATAAAGAAATGAAAAATGCCTCTGTGTGGAGTGAGGAATCGGTGTTTAGCTCACAAATTTAGAATACCTTTCACCTAGAAAACTATACATAAACTACGATGGCAGATTAAGAGAAAGAAGTAGTGATTAGAAGCAGCAGAGGAGACAGCAGAAAGATAAAAAAAGAACTATGAAAGGTTATTTTGTGAAGGCAAATAGCTCTATATAATTCAATGTGACAAATACTTAAGTGCGGGCACGTTTAGGGCCTACTATATTCAGTGTTAGGGGATGGGAAGAAGAAAATGAAACAGTACTTGTCCTTACTGAGCTTCTGAGCTGTAATAACCTCTGAGGGCACCACTGCTTCATAGTGGAATAGATTCATAGCTTCTTAGAGCTACAAGGAGCGTTAGAGACCATCTATTCCAAACCTTCACTTTACAGTTGAGGAAACTGAGACTCAGAATAGGTACGTAACTTAGTCAAGGTCAGACACAACTGGCTTTTTCCAGAGCTGAGATTCAAGCTGAGGTGTCTTCCTTCTACTGCCCTACAGACTAATCATCAATGTTTAAAAATGATTCTTGTTGATTGGCATCAAGATTGAATTATATTTGATGCAGATATATTTTATGACTGAAGAGGGAGATATAAAATTTGGGGCAAAGTTATTATTACAAAAATTTACGTAAAAATAATTTTAGTGTTTCAAGGGGTAAGATTTGGTTATCTGGAAAATTCACTTATATGAAACAATTCATTTGCTCAATGGTGCTGGATAAATCAAATTTACTGACCCTGTGAAAAAAATGTAAGCTTTGAGGATTTTTGGTGGTAACTTCAATAGAGAAAGAAAGGTGTGCCGAGAAAGCCCATACATTCAACTGAGACATTTGTGGCTAGGAGAGGCTCTTAGGTTCATAGGCTCATCTTTTTTAGAGTTGAAAGGGAACTTACAGGTCACTAAGTTCAAACTACTTATTTTACAGATGAAGAAACTGAGACCTCAGAGAGAATAAGTGACTTACCCAAGGTTATATGAGTAATAAGTAATAGAGCCAGAATTTGAACCGAGATCCACTCATAAATTCTAACTATCTTTCCATGGCACCATTGCTACTTTCCCAGGTAAGATCTATTCAAGATTAAATATAGGTTTCTGTATATGGATTTTAACACTCAGGAAAAGTTAGGAATTTGTTCCAGTTTTAGGTTTATACACAATTTTTATCAATGAAAAACCAATTTTTATCAATGAAAAACCTTTGTTGAACATTGATCAGGTGCTATGAATTAAAAGAAGTCCTCATCTTCAAGGAGTTTGTGGCCTAGAATATCACTATCTGATATGTATCAATAAGAAATTTATCCTTGGCAATGTTCACAAAAGCTGACTCCCATTTTTGTAAGAGCCGTTCCAATCTTGTTGAGTGCTAATAAAAAAAATAGCTTTGCCAGAGCTTTGGGATAATAATATATGTAACATGACTACTTTACAGAGCATAATAACACCTTTTATCAAATGAATTAAGATTGTCATAGAATTATAGATATAGATCTGGAAAGTACCTTGGAGGGAATCTAGTATAACCACCTTATGTTAGAGATGAAGAAACTAATTCCCAGAGAGGCTAATTGATTTGTGCAAGCTCACATAGTTTACTCAACCATTCCTTTCATTTTGTTTTACTTCTTCATTATCTCCTCGTTTCCCATTGTGAAGGATGCTAATTACTAGCAAGAAAAGACTGAAGTTACTACAGAAAGACATATTCTCTTTTCTCATTTACTGGAGTAAATAATCTTTAATATTCCTTCTAGCTCTAAAACAATAATCTTTTGATTGTAAGATCATAATTTCAGCTCTACTACTTACTAGCTGTGTGACCCTTGGATAAGTCATTTAACTTTTCTTGGCTTCTGTTTCTTCATCTGCAAAATGATGTTTGGACTCAATTATATTTTTCCAATCTTTGCTAGTCCCTAGCCCTTGACTTTTACTAAGCCGTTCTATATCTTACTATTTAATATGAAAGAGAATACATTCCGGAGTTTACCATGCATATGCACATAAGAAATAAAATAAAAGATAGCTTATCTTTCATTTGGTCATTGTTGCCAATTATCTCCCAGCTCAATAGGAAAAGAATTCTGTCCACATCCAAATCTCATTGATTTGATTTTGGTTAGGAGGAGAATATTCTTTCAATTGTCTTTCAAATTTTTCAGATACACCATACAATTTCTATCTCCTCCCCCTTCTTCTAATCTACCAACTTTTTTTCACTAAAATTACTACTTTTAGAATATTTCTATAGGATAATATATTTATCAAATATTCCCTGTGACACATTGACAAGCTTCTCAGATCCCGAAGGGCGATGTCCTCAAGCTGGGAACCTGTGGCCCAAAAGAATACACCTCTTCTTTCTACACGTGTAACTTGGGCAAATCATTTAATCTTCCTGGGCTGAATTCAGTTCTTGATCTCTAAAACGAAGGGGCTGACCTCTACGTCATGACCTTTGAGGTCCTTTCTAGCTATAAACCTATAATCCTATGATTCTAAATTCAAGTAGAATTTAGACACCTAGATTTTACTGCTTTGTGCTCTGTTATGCAGGTGTGCTAGGAACTTGGTCAGAATAGGGGGAGGTACAGGGTTTGTTTTGTTCCTTACTAAGTATCCCAATCACCTAATTACAAGAAGGCCACACCCAGGAATTTGTAGTAGTGGAGGATAATTAAATGTCTGGCTAACTCAGAAGTATAAGCCTGAAAAATGAAATTTACTTTTAGAAAAAGAATAATGATTATTGTAACATCATCTAGAAGATACCCCATTTTATAATACTGCTAATCTTACCTGATAATCTTTATTAATTTTATGCTGCATGATCAGCATATTTCTTGTCTTTTCTAGTTCTTGCACTGTTTCTGCATGTGTTGCCTGAAGCTCTCGAATTGATTTTTCTAGGTCCTTATTAATGTCACCATCAACTTTCTCTAGAAAGGAAAGTTGTCCACTTTTCTGCTCTTTTCTAGACTAGAAGGAAAAGGTTTTTAATTTAAATCAATTCAACAACAACAAAAAATATTATGAACTAGTTAAGCACCAGCAACTTTCCTAGGTAGCGCTAATAAAAAGACAAACATATAAGTACTGCCCCAAAGTACTTTATATTCTATTCAGAGGAGAAAACATTATATGTACACATAACAGCAACAACAACAACAACAACTAATAACAGCTAACATTTATGTAGTTCTCACTACGTTACAGGTACTGTGCTGAGTGCCTTATAATTATTAACTCATTTGATCTTTACTACAACTGTGGAGGTAGGTGCTATTATTATGTCTCTTACAGAAGAGGAAACTGAGATAGACAGAGAGTAAGTGACTGACTCAGGATTATACAGCTAGAAAGGGTCTGTGGTTGGTTTTGAACTCAGGTCTTCCTGATTTCAGATCCATTTCTCTGTTGACTGAGTCACCTTCTTGCCAAATGGAAGAGTGAGTGTACTTTCAAACATTTCTGATTAAAAGATGAGAGATGAGTAAGATCTTTGAAATACAAAAAGAAGAGTCAAGAGAAATCTAGAATATGAAATTTTTTGAACTGGAGGGGTTATATGACAATGTCAAGCTAACATTCTAATAGAGGCAGAAGAAACATAAAATTCCTTCAGAACTTTAATATCTTCTTAGGGTATTGAAGGGTTAAATAAAAAACAAAGAGGTCCTGGAGAAGGGTTGGGTCTGTTCTGAGAGTCTGAGGAGGAGAAAGAGAAGAAGTAAAAGGAAGAATATACTAGTGTAGAAAGAAGAAGAGGATGGAATTAGCTATTTCTCATAATTGGGGTACAATAAAAGAGGAATATATAAACAAAGAAGAAGGGATGGCGGGAAAAGACATCAGTTGGTGGTTTCAGAAAAACTTGCGTGAACTGAAGCAGGATGCAGTGAACAGAACCAAAATTTATACAATAACAAGAGTACTATAAGAATGATAAACTTTCTATCTACATATCTTTTGGACATGGCCAATGTGGAAATATATTCTGGCTGATTATATGTATTTGTAAAAGAGGTTTTGCTGTTTTTGTTTTTTATAAGGAGGGCAAAGGTGGGAGGGAACAAAGGCAGACTTTTTATTGAAATATACGTAATTTAATTTTTAAAAAGTCATGGAGATAGAAGATGGGATATCCTGTATGGGAAACAGCAAAAAGTTTGGTTTGGCTAGAATGTAAAGTATATGAGGGGGAATAATTGTGAAAGGTTGAATAAGAGGTTTGCAATTCTAAGGGCAATAGACAACCGTTGAAATTTCTTGTGGAAAATATATTGGAGGAGGCCTTCAAACAAGGAGACAATTAGGAGGTTATTGCAACAGTACAGACTAGAAGTAACGAGGTCCTGAACTAAGGGTGGTGGCTATGTGAGTATACAGAAAGGAATGCAAAAAGTCTTATGATGATACTTAATAAATTTTTGCAACTGATTGAATATGGAGGGTGAGAGAGAGGGAAGAGTTATGAAGGGCTTTCAGTATGTGCACTTTGGAGACTGGAAGGATAGTGGCACCTCTGACAGAAAAGGCACTGGGTTTTTGGGAGGAGGATGAATTCTATTTTATACATGTTGTCCATGAACATCTAGGTAGGGATGACCAGCAGGCACTTGGTAATGTAAGACTGATACTTAGGGCAGAAGTAAGTACTGGACATATAGATTTGGTAGTCATCTGCATGGAGATAAAAACTGAACCCATGGGAAGTGATGAGATCACCAAGAGAAAATGTGGAAAGAAGAGAGAAGGCCCACATAAGACATATGGAATATATTCCAGAATACGAGGAAGGGCAAAGGATGATGATACAGAAAAGGAGGAGGGAACAGGTTGATAGAAGTAGCCTCAGGAAAGAATATTATGAAAACCCAGGAAGAAAATATCCAGGAGGAAGTGGTTTTCTATAGTGCCAAACGCATTGCAGAGAAGTCAGAAAGGATGAAAACTAAGAAAAGGTAATTGAATTTAGCCTTAAGATACCATTGGTAACCTTGAAGACAGCAGTTTCAATTGAGTGGTAAGATTAAAAGCCAGATTGCAAAGAGTTAAGATGTGAGCAAGAGAAAAGGAAGTAGAAGCAACAGATGTAAATAACTTTTTCTAGAAAACTGGCTGTGAAAAGAGAAGTAACAGGATGATAATTTGGTTGGGGAGTTAGGGTCAAATGAAGGTTTTTTAAAGAGATTTGGGCATATTTGTAGACAGTAGAGAAGGAATCAGTAGGTGAAGAAAAACTGAAGAGGAGAGTGAGGGCGATGCTTAATGGAGCAAGCTCCTTAATGGGAGACGATGGGATCCAGGGTACAAGGAGAAGGGTTGGTCTCAGCAAGAAGGGCTAAGTTCACCATCCATTCACATTTCAACCCCTATCTCACTGTCAGAGAATGGAATAGAATGGTGGGATATTGAGAATAGAAGAAAGTGAGGTCACAGAAATGGGGTTAGATTGGGGAAAATAGAGAAGAGCAGAGTGATTGGAGGCTGCAGTGGGGACACAGAATAGGTTTAGAAAGGGCAAGGCACAAGGAGAGATGGAACGATAGAAAGTTATGGTCTGACAGAAAAATTTCAGTCTTTTAGATCATGGAGATGGAGTTATTGTGGGTAATAAGATCAAGAGTATGACTATATATGAGACTGAGTTAGAGTGAAGGTATAAGTTATGAGAGTTGAGGAACAGAAAAGTTAAGTTATTTTATGGTACAGATGAAGACTGCTGTGGGCCTGAACTAAGAGGTTCAATGTTGAGAAGAAAAGGGACACTTGTGAGTCAATGAACAAAGGAGGTTTATCTTATCCAAAACAGCAAAGATACAGTGGTTCTTAGCGCTTCTGAATTCCCCACTCTTTTCTCCATCTCTAAACATGCATTTGGTCATTATGACATCAGGGAATGGTGACTTGCAAGGTCTCAGGCAATTACCAAGTCTGAATGGCACCAGCAACATAAGTATCTCTTATGCTCTAAGAACCAAAAAGCTGCATCAGGGAAGCTGGGACCAATCAAGCTGGTGGGGGGGAAGAGGGGAGAGGAAATCAGGGAGGTTCTATCAGGAAAATATCCATCCTATCACAACAATTGTGAGGCAGCTAGCAAACTCCTTGAGAAAAAAGGAAAAATGAGCTGTGAGCTGGTAGATTAAGTGCCATCAGCATCTTGACAGGGTGATACACATATCCATGTATGTATATAGAGAGTTTTCTAAAGACAGATACACACACATATATGTGCATACACACACACACACACACACACACACACTACCCCTCCCTTCACATATATATCTCAAGATATACCCTGTATGTATAGGGTGAGCTAGATCTGTCCTTCCTTCCTTCCTGTCTTTCTTCCTTCCTTCCTTCCTTTCTTTCTTTCTTTCTTTCTTTCTTTCTTTCTTTCTTTCTTTCTTTCTTTTTCTTTCTTTCTTTCTCTCTCTCTCTCTCTCTCTCTCTCTCTTCTCTCTCTCTCTTCCTTCCTTCCTATCTATCTATCTATCTATCTATCTATCTCACCCTATTCATACAAGGTGTATCTTGGAAGGGTGATATATTTAAATATTTATATTTATATCTATATCTATATGTTCATGCATGTATATATAGCTCAATAAAGTGAATCTCAAAGGCTAGATGATAGAGGTAAAGGGAAAGTCTGGAAGTGGTAGCAAGGAATGTGTTTACTCTTCCTGTCTCAGTATTTCATTGGGCATGAGAGACAGTATATGTAGCATTGGAGTTGGTAGCCAGAGATGCAGGACCTTCTGAGGGGAGCCATATTTTTATGACTTCAAGAATATGAAGGGTTTATAAGAGGTCTCATAAAAACAGCAGTTGGTTAATAGAGATTCTAGGCACAGTAGAAGAAGAGAGCAGAACAGGGAACCATATAAGAGAAAGGTAATTTTCACACAAACAACTTTCAACTTTGAATCATGGAGATTTGGAAATGAAGAGAGAGTTTGCTAGACATGACAACAGGCTGTCAAACCATTTTCAATAAGTTATGGCAGCTGTACCCCAGGTCCCAACTTGGATATTGATTTCTTATTAGAAAATGGTTTGTAAATATCAAATGAGTTCACTTTAAAATAATATAGAAGCTATATGTACTAAGTTTCAACATGGAAATTAGGTAAAGACTGCATAAATAATATTTTTTCCCATAAGGATTAAAGTAATCATGGTACAAAAATACATAAACATACTTTAAATTATTATAGTAAAGGCAGCAATATTGAATTTCTTTGTAACATCAGAAAATTAAGTTTACATATTTATTTTCATTTTTTCCATCTGATTCTTATCTTCAGTATAATACAATGATCTGAAAGAAATAGGCTTTTCTTAGGTTCTTTTGCAAATAATCAAATAACTTAGATCTAGAAGATATCTATAATATTCATTACTAAATATCTTATTTAAACTAACAATGGTGAACCAATGAATTCCTTTTAAAATCTGCAAACCTTCTTCAATGCTAGGCATATATACCAAGAATGTTAATGATGTCATCTTCACCAAAATATTTATAGCGGCACTTTTTTTTAGTAGCAAAGAACAGGAGGCAAAGTAGATGTCCATCGACTGAAGAATGGCTAAAGAAAAATCGTGGTACATTACTGCAAGAGAATATTACTATGTTCTAAGAAATGTTAAGCATTGGAAGATTTATATGAATCTATATAAAATAAGCAGGAAAAACAGAAGTGGGAAAACAAAACATATGACTACAACAATGTAAATGGAAAGAACAACACAACAAACAATTGAATTAAATGTCATATTAGAATGACTAAGCTTGGCTCCAAAGAGAAGATATATTAAGATATGAGAAAGCATTTCCTTGTCTTACTTGCAGAAATGGGGGACTATGGATGTGAAATACTAAATATCATGTCAGAGTTTTTTGATGTGTTGGTTAGTTTTGTCAAAAAAGTTTTTTTGTTCTTTTTTTATTCTTTGAAATAAGGGATAACTTTCTAGTTTTTCTAGAAAAGCAAAAGTTATCAATCAAAAGAATTTTCAAACAAAAACTTAATTTGTTTTATAGTGGGAAATGTGAAAGCAAAAGGTTTACTATAATTAGGTAAGTGTTCTAAGTGTCAAGTGTTAATGAATTTTGATGCCATGAAATATGCACATAATCAAATTAGTATCATTTCCCAACTTCCTGAGTTTTATTAGAAGTGAAAGTGCAACATATTTGCAGATCAGAAAAGCTTAACGTCCATCTCACTATGATTAAAGATAAGGATCAGAGCCAAACTAAAACAGAGAACTAGATGACATGAAAACTATAATCAAATTCAGAAAGTTACCTTTATAAGCATGAGGGCTTCACTGAACTCAGTCATATCAATTTCACTCTCCTGCAACACATTTATTAAGGAAAAAAACATGATGCGATGTTAATTAAAAATAGACATGCATTCTAAATACAAGAAAGCATCCTCACAAAATGACGGCTTCCTGATACCATAAATTCATAAACTAATATCTTTTCATTGTAGTGCTTTATCTGTAAAATATAATGATCTTGTATTTTTGAAGCAATAAAAATTCACCTTGCTGAAAAACTTCATGTGGTTTTTAAGTTCATCAAGCTGTTGTTTATGTTCCAGATAGTGTAATTGTAGTTCTTTATTTTCTTGAGTAAGTTTTTCTGTTTGGTCTTGAAAATAAAAAAAGACATAATAAAAAAGCTAAAACAAAAAGTTGGGTCTGAGAAATTATTTCAAATGAATTTTCCAACCCTTGATACACATCAAATTCTAGCTAATACTCTTTTAGCCAAGAAACTGAGGTAATAAGGTAACTGAGGTAATATTAAAACTAGACAAAGGCACTAGGAGAATAATGAACAAACTAATACCATATTATAAACCAAAGGTATTATTCTCTTGGTTACAGACACTTTCAATAAGAGCTCATATCATATTTATACACATACATGTATATATTTGTGTATATAGTGAAAATAAAACATATATAGTGTGTGCATATATGTATGTACACACATATAAATATATACATATATGCCCACATGTACATATTTACACATATTACATAGGGAAATCAAGGCTGATGGCACATCAAAGTTATGCTTATTTTAAAATACATATGAAACTATTTTGCTAAATCCAAGTCTTTTATTTACTTATTGTGGTTCCTGAAAGACATGAAACAAAGTGTTTTTTAGAAATTTTCTAATTAGTTTCTTAATTTTTCTATAACTTCCTAATTTACATAATGAAGTCATTACTTGGAGTTAAAATAAGGTACTTTTCCTGTCATTTAATAGGCAATGAGGAAACAAAACTATCACTCTTTGTAGATAATATGATAGTATACTTAGAGAATCAACTAAAAACTAGTTGAAATAATTAACAATTTTTGCGAAGTTGTAGGATATAAAATAAACCCACACAAATCATCACCATTTCTATATATTGCCAACAAAGTCTAGTAGCAAGAATAGAGAAATTCAGGGGCAGCTGGGTGGCGCAGTGGATAGAGCACCAGCCTTGGACTCAGGAGGACCTGAGTTCAAATCTGACCACAGACACAAAACACTCACTAGCTGTGTGTGATGCTGGGCAAGTCACTTAACCCCATTGCCTAGCCAAAAAAAAAAGAAAAGAAGAAAAAAGAAAAAAAAAGAAATAGAGAAATCCATGTAAGATAACTGCAGACAATATAAAATACTTGGAAGTCTACTGCCAGGACAAAACCAGAACTACATGAACACAATTACAAAACACTTTTTATATATGACCAGATCTAAACAATTGGAGAAATATTAATTGCTCACGGGTAGGCTGAGCATATATAATGAAAATGACATTTCTACCTAAATTAATTTACTTATTCAGTGATATACCAAATTACCAAAAATTATTTTATAGAACTAGAAAAAAAAATAATAAAATTCATCTGGAAGAACAGTCAAGAAGATCAAGGGAATCAATGAAAAAAAAGTGAAGGAAAGTAGCCTATTATATCAGATCTCAAACTATTACAAAGTGGTAATCATCAAAACAATCTGGTACTGGCTAAGAAACAGAGTGGTAGACCAGTGTAGGCACACAAGACACGATAGTAAATGACCATAGTAATCTAGTGTATGATTAATGCAAAGATCCAAGCTTTAGAAACAAGAATGCACTATTTGACAAAAGCTATTTTGACAAAAACAGTTTGGCAGAAATTACGTATAAACTAACATCTCATACCAACCACGTACCAAGATAAAATCAAAATGGATACATAATTTAGACAAGGAATAACATCATAAGTAAATTAGAGGAGCATGGGATATTTTACTTGTCAGATCTATAGATAAAGGGAAGAATTTGTGACCAAACAAAAGACAGAGAGCATTACAAGATTTAAAATGGATAATTCTGATTACATTAAATTAAGGGTTTTTTTGCACAAACTAAAGCAATGCGCAGCCACGATTAGAAAAGCAGAAAACTGGGAAATTTTTTTTACAAATTTCTCTGATAAAATTTACAAGTTTCTCTCACATACACAGAGTATTAAGTCAAATTTATAGTAATATGAGAAATAATAAGGGAAATAAATTATCCCCATTGGTAAATGGTGAAAGGATGTAAACAGGTAGTTTTCAGAAGAAATCAAAGTTATCTATAGCTGTATGAAAAAATGCTGTCCTGAATCCAGAACCAGCACCTTATCCACTATGCCACCTAGCTTCCCAAACCTTCCCACTACTTATTAGAGAAATGTAAATTAAAACAACTCTGAGGTACACCTCACACCTATCACAGTGACTAATATGACAGAGAAAGAAAATGATAAATGCTGGAGGGGATGTGGAAAAATTGGGACACTAATAAACTGTTGGTGGAGTTGTGAACTAATTCAACCATTCTGCAGAGCAATTTGGAACTATGTCCAAAGGGCTATAAAACTGTGTATACCCTTTGATCTGTACCCTGAAGAGATCAAAGAAAAAGGGAAATGATCTATAAACCATTTATAGCAGCTCTTTTTGTTGTGGCGAAGAACTGGGAATTGAAGGGATGCCTATCAATTAGGGAATGGCTGAACAAGTTTGGCATATGATTGCAATGGAATACTACTGTGCTATAAGAAATGACAAGCAGGATGCTTTCAGAAAAACCTGGGAAGACTTATATGAACTGATGCAAAGTAAAGTGAGCAGAACCAAGGGAATACTGTACACAGTAATATTGTATGACGATTAACTGTGAATGACTTAGCTATTTTCAGCAATACAATGATTCAAGATAATCCAAAGGACTTATGATAAAAAATTCTATACACCTCCAGTAAAAGAACCGATGGAATCTGAATGCAGGATTGACACACACTTTTCCCCTCACTTTATCTATTCACTCACTCATTTATTTAGGTCTGTGATTTCTTTTGTAACACAGCTACTATGGAAATAAGTTTTGCATTGCTTTACATGTATAATCCATATCAGATTGTTTGCTTTCTTAATGAGGGAGGAGGATGATAAGGGAGAGAGAGAATTTGGAACCCAAAATTTAAAAAAAAAAGTTACACTAAATGTTAAAAAATTGTTATTACATATAAAACATTGAAAAAAAGTTTAACCTAGTTCTTACTGCCATTTCTCCTTGGTAAGGTTTCATTTTGGTGATTATAGTTGATCTTTGATGGCTTCTCTAAAGTGCTTCAGCCTATTTCATCTATTTTGTTTTATTTTTGGTTTAGATCTATTTAGTATGGACAGCTGATCTGCTTGGCCAGCCAGGTGGCACAGAGGGATAGCATGCTGGGCTAGGATTCAGGAAGACTGATCTTCCTGAGTTCAAATCTAGCCTCAGACACCTACCAGATATGTGACCCTAAGCAAGTCACTTAACCCGTTTGCCTCCTTTTCTCATCTGTAAAATGAGCTGGAGAAGGAAATGGTAAAGCCCTCTGGTATCTTTTGCAAGAAAACACCAAATGGGGTTACGAAGAGTCAGACACAACTGGAACAACTCAACAACAAACAACAACAACTTGGTCTGCTTTAGCTTTATGGAAGCTCAGAATTCCAGAGCTCAAGTAATACATCATCCTTAGCCTCCCCAGTGGCAGGGATTACAGATGGGCACCACATTGCCTGGCAGCCTATTTCTTCCTATTATACTTAATTTATATTTATTTTACCTTACTTGTTATTAAAAAAAAGGACAACAAAAATACTTGCTTAATTTTACATTAAATGTGGGTCTAGAAAATTTTGATGACTTCTGCTATTTCAACTGCTTCTTTCAACTTCTTTGGTCCTGATATCAAGCCAGTATCTAAAAACTTCAGTGAATTAAGAAACATAAGAAATGTAACAATAGTAATTGGTATGAGTTATTGAGTATTTCTATTTGATTAAATTCCACCAAAGCTCTATCCTTGTGTCTTACCCTGACATGGAGGTGACTTTGGGCTCTTGAAGAAACAAGGAAAATGCAAGGTCTGGCAGTTTTTCTCAAGATGAAAAAAGCTTCAAATATAGTTCTGGCAACAGGTTGTATCTACTATTCTTGGATTAGCCTAGCTAGGTACAGAGAGACATCACCAGAAAGCTGGCCAGTAGGTGACAACTTCTTCCTTTGTTCTCTCAGTTCAAGCACTGTCTTGTACATGAAGCCTTTCCTGATGTCCTGAGTTTCTAGTGTCCTTTCTCCTTTCTAAAATTATCTTTTATTTATCTTGAATATATTCTCCATGTACTCATTTATGTATGTATTGTCTTCCTTGATCGAATATAAGCTCCCTAAAGGAAAAGACTTGTTTCATTTTTGTCTGTGTCTACAGTGCCTGCACATAGTAGTTGCTTAATCAATGTTTAATTACTTGATTAATGAAGCAGAAAAAAAATACAAAATTGCCTTTAGTCCTATGGGATCTGTTGCTGCTTCTGTAGTGATGGTGAGAGAATGGCAGAAAAGTGTGCAAAAGTAATAAGAATTACACAGTTTTTAGACAATCCACAAATATTATCTGTTGTGGCTCTTGATAACTTTGTCTAATGACCAATGAGTTGGAGCACTACTAGAGGAGATGAACCATGTCTATATCAGAATTCTTACTATAAATGATACTAGAAGACATTAAGAAGTTATAGGTAAATGGAACAAAAGCTTATGGGTTTTTCTTGGAGAGCTGAACAAAACATTTGGTTTTATCATGTCTACCAAAAGGCTACAGGAGAGATACCATTTCCTGGGATATCTAAACACATGCCTTGAGATGCCTCTGATGAGCACAAACAATTAACTATGAAGATGTTGCAGTTTGTGCTCCAACACCTGTAGCAGAGATTGAAGACATAGTCCAAGTTTTACAGAACAAACCCTTTTATTAAGGGGATTTGTTCTGTGAAATTTGGATTCAGTCAAAAGGCTGCACCCAAGGACCTTGAAGGTCACACGTGGCCTTGAGGCTGCAGGTTCTCCCCCCCTATTCTAGGTAGAATTTGGCAAGGTATTCTAAAACAAGTCAACATATATTTTGATTCATACTTATTTCAATGCAAAATTGGGCACAGAAGACAGCAAAACAACAAAAAATCCATTTGAAAACATGCTCAGGATTAAGAAATGAAAGAGGCCAAAGGCCTATAAATTACTCATGCTAATATAATAAAAAATGTTTTCTTTAAAACGA